AGCGTTTCGGCAACAGTGAAGATCTTTGATTAGAGTCAAGGGAAATTGTTTGCAAAGAGGTTAACGCCATATTGCAAGAATACATCGAAGAGGCGAGNGTTTTTGCTTGTTTTGCTTTGTCAATCAATATACGTACGATCTCCACTGATTCCTCTTGCCACATTTGAACCTGAACAAGGGAACCGTTCGTCAAAATATACCGTTTCCCACATAACATATTTTCTAGTCAGCCTTCCTTCATTTACGGGGATTATGAACGAAAGCAAGAAAGTAAGGATGTTCATTCCTGGAGAGATCAAAAATGTTTGATTCTTGGATTTCGGTTGATCACAAGCGTTTCGGCAACAGTGAAGATCTTTGATTAGAGTCAAGGGAAATTGTTTGCAAAGAGGTTAACGCCATATTGCAAGAATACATCGAAGAGGCGAGCACATAATGGACGGAACCAGCAGTACCTACCTCCTCAACCATACGAACAACTTTCTCTTCATGAACTCGATTGTCTTGCCAGTTTCGCCAGTGTTCGTTGACCGTATAGAATCTGCGTTCATGTTCATTCAACATGTTGTGCACCCATTCAATCGCATTCTCAACGCGCAACTTCGCATCTGTTTTTGCTGATTCTTTCACGGATGCCACAAATTTCTCGCCTTAAATGAATTCAGTACCACCCTGTTTGCAAGCTTTCCCTCAAGTCAGTTCGATCGGGTAGATGCTGATGAACTAATCAATTGTATAAGTACAAAACATTGTCACTGTGAAATGGACAGCTCACAAAAAAAAACAACTGCTCTTCTTTTAAGCTAGTAAATGGTTCTGTTGATTTTGATAAGTTGGCAAGAAAAAATTTGGCGTGTTGATTTGACCTTGTTGTCTCTCTTGAGTGAGTGTCTCTTCAATCATCCGAAAGACTTCGTTCATTTGTGCGGTGAGTTTCGGATTGGTAAAGTTACGATTCGAACTGAGCAATGCATCCAAACTCTCGAATGAGCATTCCAACTCTTTCGCAAATTTATGCACCTGCAAAATTTCCTCACAGATGATCGAATAATTTTTGAGAATTTTATTGTGTTCGAGATTTCAGCTCGTCAATGGCGACTTTAGTACACTTTCTATTGCGAATTCTTTTTTTGAAAATCGCTAACTGGTTTAAGACGATTACGTAATATCCAAAAACGATTACGTAATGTCATGAAAAATATACTATCTGAAAATTAGATAATCCATTCATTTTGATCAGTTGTGGCAAGCGAATGAAATTGGGATCAATTGCATATGATGAAGATAATCACAGATCTATATGCTATTGTGGATTGAAATATAATATTTGTGAGAGGAATTTGAACATGTGATGAGCAAAGAATGAAAACTCACCTGATAAAAAGCGTTACCGAGCGCTACTCGCGACTCAATAATTTGTTTCAGACTTTCAAATCGCGATTGAAATTTGAATAGCTTTCTTCGATCGGAATCCGATAATTCGTGTGAACGATTCGCTAATGTTTTGATGGCAGACTCTTTGTTCTGAAAATTTATCAGTCCATCAGCTTTCGATACTGACCCAGTTTAAGTTGAATACTGGAATGGTTCAAGATCTGTGCCAGATGAGAACGAGGCGAAGTGAACATTTTGTGGAATGGCGCCTTCCACGCATGCGAAATCTTCTTGAACGTTGCTTTTAAAACGCCGATGGTATTCAGGAAAGCAAACAACATTTATGAGTGGAAATAATGGATGCCATGGGAACATACGATGATTTCATTGAAGAAGTTTTTATGTGAGTTATAAAATTCATTTGCATCCTTGCCATCGCCTCCCATTCGTCCGTGCGATGCAACGAATGTTTCCGCCACATCATTTGTCCACGATTCCAGACGGTACAACTAAAGTGATGAGTTATGGACGCGTCGACTTATTTAGTTTTTCATTAGTGGATATCACTTGAACTCATTTGAGCTGAACACATTCAAAGGAAGCTAACTGTAAGCATAAATGAACATAGGGGATTTTAAGAGCCCTCGAGCTTGTAAAATCTGCAAAAATCATTTCACATCTCTCTTACATTAGCACATGCCATCATTGCAATAAATTTTCGCTATGTTCTTCATCTTTTTTTTCCGACGCTACGATAAGTAAACCCGCATAAAGTTATTTGTTTTCAAATGGCAATTCTGATTTGAGGAGTGCGTAAAAAAGTCCATTTTTCGTCGTTTTAGCGAGTGAATTTTAAAACGCTTTTCACTTAAAGATGCGAAGCATATGGCTCATTATCACAAGCTGTAAGAACGCTCGTAAATGAAAGTAAAATTCTGAAACGGCAATAACCTAGAAACTGCACATTATATGCTTAAAAGCATCATATTAGACCTATTGATGTGTTTTTATCATTCGCAAGATCTAATGGTCTATCAAACAAATAATGAGATTCGCTTGAATATGCTTTGTGTGAGTCGACGTTCGTTATCATAAGTACTCAGTTCAAGATGAGCTTGCGTCCATGACATTTCACTTTCCTTAGAGGTTCTCATCTTTAATGAATGTGACCTGCTCTAACCAAAAACCATGAATAGAGAAATTTTAACACTTTAATCACTCGAACATCGATACGGCTACGAGAGAATGCGATTGTCGACGATGAATATGAAAAAAACGTTACCTCTTGTTTAAAATGATCACTAGCTTCATTGATACGCTCATTTGCGAGTCGTTCGAGATGTTGTAGTTTCTGTTCAAGTTCAGTGACGATTCGAGAGACACTCGAGTCGAGGTGTGACAGCGATCGTCCTTCATCGATCAGAACTTGTGCCTTTTGATGAGCCAACGGTGCCAACTCACCAGCCATNTGAACATTAGTACATCGAAGAGGTAGCAAATGTTGGATGGTGCATACCATCCACTGAATGGTCCCGTGATGTGCGTCAAAGTCAATTAGCTTCAACTAATTGGCTGGTCAGAAAGATTCGAGAAAATTTGAGCTTACTGAATTAGCCGATGTGATAAAGTGTCGACAGCGCTCCAAATCGGCGCTGCGGACCTCAATATCGCGTATCAAATTTTCGATATCATTTTGCAGCTGGGCCACACGTCCTGCCAAACTTGCATTCTTCACACTTTCTTGTTGTACTTCACGCATTATCTTGTCAACTTCTGAGCGCTGTTGCTGGAAACAATTAATCAGTCATATTGAGACCTTAGCCAGCTTCGTTTTCCAATAGGAGCCCGCAACACTTGGATAATACCCGTTTAAAAGAAAGCATCTGAAAGCCATTCATCACCTAATGTTTGGAAAAATCAGGGCTTGTTTTCAATGTTCGAAAAATGCTCTTGAAAATTTACGATCGCTTGTTGTTTCAGTGAGTTGTAATCGTAGCCGTTTTCGAACTGTGTACGAGCATTTTTCAACCATTGCTCAATATCATCGACCTTCGCCACCAACGCATTTGTTTCATCGATCTGCGATCCCAGTTTCGCTTGCTCATTCTTCCAAGCCTCTTCAATATGCTCCCATTCCATAGCCATCTGAAAGCACCAACAAGAGTAGTAGATGCTTTATGGGCGATCATTACGTCCAGTTGGAATCGTGTGAGAGTTTCAATGAAAATTAGTACCCTGAGCATGAATTTTTCGATTTGAAGGCAAGCATCGGCGGTCTCTTTGGCTAGCTCAACGTTATCGGCCATTGTGCCCAGAACACGGATTTGTGAAATTATATCAGCACCACTATCCAACGCTGTTGCTGTCAATCCAATTAGATCTGTAAAATCCTTGTTATCCTCATATGTTTATAGGGACGATCTACCACATCTCAACGTCTAGGTCTGACATCGAAAACCATCAACATGCTCATATATCTGAGAGCTGGTTCTCTGGAATATTTTACTGAAATTGACGTCGTATACTTAATTGAATTTCAAGATTTTGGAATTTTATTGCATTCACGAAAAGAAATGTTCACTGGAGCATCAGCCTAAGAAATCAACTGTAACCATTAATGTCCCGATGAGTTTCCTTCATGAAATTTGCGTGATCTGTTCGCACTGATGACGATCTTAGCGCCGTGTTTATTCGAGATGTGAGCTAAAACAAAAAAGTGGCTCTTATAGCAGAACGTTTGCTGAATAGATTGAAAATAAGCGATGAACTAAAAACTTGATTTGGAATTACTGAGTTTCCATCGTAACGAAGACTAAATGATTTATGTGTCTGAGCCTGACGGGGAAAACGGTTTATGATTTATGACGGTTATCAATTACTCAAAGAAAAGAGTTTATTATCGAATTGATAGATGGATTTGCTTCGAGAATAATGTTACTATTTTGCTCGTTCTATTATTGATGTAGCAACGGCGTAAAAAAAGCAAGTGAAAGTAAGCAGAATCGAACCCGTTCATGCTGTTGCGCGTACTCGTAAAATTTAAGTGCCTCTTTGAGAAGATATCCTCTCAATTGCAATTGACGATTCAATTCTTTCCACGCTGATCCTAGACTTTCGGCCATTGCCTCATATACTGCTACATCTGGTTCAGCCTGTTGGGTAACCAAATTATCCGCTCGAGCTAGCAGCTCTTCAACTTGATCCTCCTTACTCTGAAACTCATTCGTTTGAACGAAACTGCCGAATCACCTACTGGATGGAAGAGAAACGAAAACAATTGGATGGGAATGTGGCTGATTCGTGAATCTTATGAGATATCAAGGCTAAGAATACTCAAAAAAAAGCAGGTTTCGTTTTTCATTTTATTCGAAGGATGTGATTGTGTAATCTTGAAATCAAGTAATCTGTTAAGAACAAATGATGCAAATATCAATCATTTGCAGATACACACTCTACTGTGAGAGTTTAACACCACGATTAATCGCTTCCTTCGACACAAAGAACATCCCACCAGTCTTTAGACAACTGGGAAAAAATGTAACGTTCATTCAACAAATGTTCTTACAACCAGTCAAAGTAATCGCTTCATAATGGCCCCCACTTCGACCCCACATTTAGAACACTACTGTTCCAACAATTAGTCAAAATGCAAACATCAATAAAATGACAACCTTAAGCCTATTCATGAGATCTTCGTGAATGTCGAGTAAATCTCGCGTTTGTTCATAATTCTCTCCGATGTCAAGCATTCGTGGAGACATCTCATCGATTCGTAATGACACATATCCGATACTCTGCAATAATTGATAGAATAAATCACTTAATCCATTCGAACGACCCTCATTAATTACCATACAGGAAAACCGCATATCAGTAGATGACAACGCTCCATTGACCGAACACCCCACTACCATGCTCATATGAGAATAACAGCACATGTAATCTCATATTCTTCCAGACGAAACGGATTTGATTCGGAAGTTGGTGAAACAAACAGATAAGATGCTCTCTAGCCATTGACAGAGCATCTGCATATCACGATAGCCGCTTATTAACAAATGAATCGCGAGAAATAGATTGCGAGCGGTGAAACATTAGCTGAGACTCAAAAGATGTTCCACGCGTTATTTATGCTTTCAGTGATATTCGATGTTTTGGCACAGTGGTTCTCACAACGTGTGAAATTACCCATTTTTGGTAATTTGCAGGCGGTCGGGAAATTAGAATTTCGTGCATTCGTGTGTTTCGTGTGTTGAGATAGAACGTCACCGTGATGATGTTTTTTAACTCGACTATGTAAATGCGGTCAGTTGATGGCAACACTCTTCATTCTCCCATTTTCTGAGTATCATTAGCTCGTCCGGGCCTAAGAGGGTTTTCATATGTTTTAGCAAGGTTTTCATTCTTTTCTTTACTGTTGCAATCGCTCTCATAACTTTTATCACCAAAAGTATTCTCTTCTGCTAATT